TAAACAAAGGAATAAATTGCAGAGGGATTTCTTACTGTACTTGTTGAGGAGTGGTGGAAGGAAACATATTTTAACAATGTATCTTTGTCATTAATGACAGGGCTTTTGTCAGCTGAGTGCTGTGGTTTGGATGTGGTTTGGTATGTTTTATATGACTTCTTGTTTTTCAGGTGGTATGGAAGCGCTGTTCTTAGGAGTGGTGATTGGGGCAGTCCTGCACATGAGCAGCAAGTGGCAAAATAATCAGCTGCTAGTTTTCTGCAGCTGGTGTTTAGGCTTCTGGAACGTTGTCACCTGAGGGAGCTGGGCAAGTTGATAACCAACTTTTAGACTTAGCCGTTGCATCAAGGATAGAGAATTGTCTATGAAGTAGGGGAAACCAGGTAGAATGTATTCTCTTAAGACTTGCTTTCTTACCATCATGGATGCCAAGTGTCTTTGACAGTTTGTACAGGGTGATGGTTTTGTTCTTGACTTTGGCCATGGCTAGATGGCAAGATACAGAGCTTATTGACCTTCAGATCAGATTTTGAATTAATAGATGATACAGGACCCTCTCTCTCTTTCTGTGACAACAGATGTTGAGGATGCCTCTGTATGAGAGGCCCTGAACCAGTCAGTGTAGCTGTGGGCACAAGGAGGGGAAAGCTGGTGCTTGTTCTTGAGGTGAGTGTACTGTCATTGGGGTGACAGCAGCAACAGTCAGCGGAGTCCTTACTGAGCGCTGGATAAGAGCACAGCCTGGACTGCCTTCCTCTTTGTACCTGGATCCCAGTGAGGCTCGTAAGGTTCCCCATCTGTGAAATGAGGGATAATATCACCCACCTATCAGGTTCCAATAATTAAATAAGATAATCCTTGTAAAATACTTACTGGAATGCCTGGTCTATAGTAAGAGCTCAGTAAATGTTAAAATGCTAGCTATTAGTGTCCTAATGTATTGTCCCAGTTGTAAGAGTGAGAAGTTCCTATCCTTTTAGGGAGAGACCAGTTGTTCTGTGGTTACCAGTAAATATCAGAACCTGTTTCATAGCTGTGGCAGCAGTCTTTCATGCTTCTGTCAACTCGCCCATCAGTGACAGCAGCCCCCACACCCACCAACACACACAGTAGTACAGCCAGACAGTCACGAACAGCTTAACTCCAGTGATGTGCTTTTGCAGGTCAGCCAGTCAGCAACATCCTCACTCCACCTCTGCTTCTGCAGCTGAAGGTCCCCTGCTGTCTAAACATGCCACCTCCTGGATGTCTCCCAGCCCCTGAGCTGGAAGCATCTCCCACCCCTGTAGAAGATCAGCGTTCTCTGCTTTGCTCAAGGGCCCTGTATGCTGACGTGCCACTCTCCCTTGCTTTAGCAAGCAATAAATTCAGTTTTTTGGTCACTTGTTGAGTGGAGCCCCCTTCTTTTAACAGTGGAGACATGTAAAATATGCTAAGAGATAACAAAGATGGGGGTTAAAGATAACAAAGTGCTGAGTTTGAGTCCAGGGTGTGAAATGGGAGTTATTCAAGTCCAGAAAAATTGCAAGGGGGAGGTTTTCTAATTTGAGGGAACACACCACGAGTGGAGACCTGAGTGATAATGGCAATGGTTGTGGAGCTGCCTCCTAATCCGTCATCCCTGGACACGGGGCAGGTGTAGGGTGGGGTGCTGGATACTAAACTGGAACAGAACTAGGCTGGATTGTAAAGGCCTCAGATCCCATCCAAAAGAGTTTTCCTGTTCTGGTGCTTCTCAAACATTTTTCTCGGCTTCTGAGTTCTAACCACAGAGGAAACTGAACTTTTACCATAAGAGGGAGTTTCTTTGAAATCTCCCTATTGGGGATATTTGTCATTCTTTTTTGGCTGCCCAGCATCTGAACTCTGTTTTTGTGCTTGAAAATGTTCCCATAGGAGGGAAAAAAGCAAGATCTGTTCCCTCCTGCCCCACTCTACAAGCTGAAATGCCAGTACTTGCCTTTCTAGCCTCCTTTTCAGCTAGGACATGGGCAGAACCTGAGGTGGGAGTGCACACAGCAAAAGACGAGATCTAGGCTGTGTGCAGTGGTCATGGTCACAGCCTGTCGCTAGTGTGTGATGTGAATGATGTGAGTATTGCATGCTGGAGGAGTGACCACTTTTAATCAATCCTATGATTCACATATTACCCAAATTTTAATATTGCTGAAATCAGGACACTCCTTAAAATCACCATTGTGAGTTTGATAAGCATTATTATTTATTTTTTTCCTTAAAAGGTAAAATAATAACCCAATGGTCTTAGAGTCAGCAACATCAGAAATACAGATTCCTGGGGCGCCTGAGTGGCTCAGTCGGTTAAGCGTCTGACTTCAGCTCAGGTCATGATCTCATGGTTTGTGAGTTCAAGTCCTGCATCAGGCTCTGGGCTGACAGCTCAGAGCCTGGAGCCCGCTTCAGATTCTGTGTCTCCCTCTGTCTGCCCCTCCGGCTGCTTGCATTATGTCTCTTGCACTGTCTCAAAAATAAATAAACACTTAAAAAAATTAATTAAAAAAAAAAAGAAATACAGATTTCTCAGTGGTAGCAGAAATGTCCATGTCAGACCAGTTCTGAGCACTGGTTTAGCCTCAGAGCCTCATGTCTGATTGTCTATCCCTTTACGTTACTCTGTAAGCCTTCTAATAAATTTATTATTTGCTTAAATTAGTTAGACTTTGTTTCTATTGTTTGAAACTACACATCTTGAAACTACACATCTTGGTATATACAAGTTATCTTAAAAAGTTTTACAAATCCTGCAGTTTGTTAATATATCTGTTTTAATGGAAAAAGGACTTTTTCTCTAAATCTTCACTTAAATTTGATGTCTCAAGAAACTATGTCAGGTTGATAACTCACAATTCAACAAGTATTTATTGAAAACTTCTAGGTGATATTATGGAGTGGGGCCTTCTGGAACTTTCACTCCGATGTGTCCCTTGTGGGCTTGCATCCCCCCTCCCCCGGGCCCCCTTCCCTCCCTCCCCCGAACATCACCTGCCATTCCTATCCTGGGGACTTGACTCTACATAAGAAGCACAGTGTAGGTAATGGAGAGCTGGGAGATGCTTTAACTTAAGAGTGATGTGACCACATTCACACAATCACTTCTATGGGCTTTCTTCACTTATTCCGATCCTCATTCACCTGGGGCAATCCTGTCTCCCTTCACAATCTCCTTTATCTTGAACCTCTATGGAAACTGTTTGGAGCCCAGAGCTGTGGGCATTTGGCTTTGAAATGCCAGATATCTTTTATATTCCAAATGTTTTTGAATTCAAATGTTCTGAGTGTTAGTTCTTTCTTCATTCCAGATAATTGCTGGGTTTCCAAATTAAAAAAACAAAAAAACAACGTCTTTCAAAATAAAAACTTCCTCAGCATGAACAATGTTACAATTGATATTTGGATCTAATAGACCCTTCTTAGACTTTTCTCAGGTCCGCATGCAAACTTTTCTTGAGTTACCTTTACTTATAATATTCACTTCAGCCTACATGGGTCATTTGCTCTTACTGAGTAGAGGGAAGCATGCTTTCAAAATAGAGAACTTTTCTGAAGCAAAAACTTTACATATTCTACTTGTGGTTGAAGAACCTGATGAAAGATTTAGAGATAAACAGTCTTAATCACTGTTGATTGGGAAATTAGGCACAGAGACTGTTTGGGGAGCATTTGGTAAGACAAGACTCCATCTCTGGAGAGCTGGTCCTGCTTTGTGATAGCACTGTAGATGATCTTTGAAGAGGGAGCTAATAGTTTGCACCTTTGTGGAATCCCCCCAAAGTCTTGTCTCTGGGGCATTACAGTGGGGAGCTAACCTCAAAGACTTGTCATCCTTAACTATTGTTTTAATGGATGAAAAGCCACAATGCAGTGAATGTTAGGCCACTATTTGCAATATGTCTATTCTCTTTAGATACAGTAGAATAATTTCTTGTCAGGATTTAACTTTCTTACTGTTGTTAATTTATTTTTATTTTGAGATAGTGTAGTACATAGTATTACATTTTCACTTCAGTTTATTTTAAGTCCAGTTATAAAATGCCTTTTTAAAATAGGTTTCTGTGAAATTAAAATCCATCTAGCCATTTCTGGTTTCTGAGATACTATTACTTCCCGTCTTCTTTCTGCTTGCCTTCTACAATCTCCCACCAAAGACAAACCCAAAACAAAACCACAACTAAAAACAGAACTATATGTTTTAAAGACAGAGGGAGATCTGATACTTCCATGAAGTCTTTATTATTTTTTTTAAAAGATTTCATTTATGTAATCTGTATACCCAACATGGGGCTCTAACTCCCAACCCTGAGGTTAAGAGTCACATGCTCTTCCAACTGACCCAGCCAGGTGCCCCTTCCTCCAAATCTTTAAAAGGAAAATGTTGGAATGACATGATTCTTCTTTGTGTTAGATGTTCCACATTTTGTGAGAAGAGTTAGGCTTTCCTAATAGTCTTCAATGACTGGCTCAACAGAGTGAAAGATACATGTCCATTGTTAATACAGGAACATGTTTGGAGGCCAGTGTGGAAAGCTATGGAACACCCTTGTCTGACGCTGTGTTTTGTTCAGCACTTGGATGGAATTCAGTGTTCTATAGGAAGATTTAAGCTTTTGCTCGTTCAGAATTTGTAAGAAAAAGTCTGGGTTAAATTTTACACGACCATCTTCTATAAAAGATGGTTAGACATAATCATGTAGACAGAGAAACACTTAAAACTCTGATTCTTTCCAAGTACTTAGATGCCCTCACTTAAGAAACATACTCGATAAGTTATGCTAATGGATGGGAAAGCAGTCTGAAAAGTTTACATACTGCAAATGCAAGCTGCTGTTAGTATTTGGCAGTCTCTTATTTATTCAGTAAAACAGCTGTTCAAGGCCCTTCCCTGGGCCAAACTATCTTAGCCTCATTCCACTTATAGAAATGAGCATGCAAGCAATGAGAAATGGGCATTTCAGTAAAAATATTTTCTTGTTCCTATTTTCCAGAAATTCAACTGGCATTCCCCTTAAATTAATCCCAATCTTTAGGTTTCCCAAATCCATCAACGACTATTCCTCAGCATCAGGCACTGGTGCTCAATGGACGTGTTATGACTGACTGAATGAATCAACAGATATTTTGTACAGTGCTGAAGCACCTCAAGAAAGGGAAAGAAATGCAAAATGCAGACACTCTCACTTGGGCTACTTACACTTTAACTTGGGAACATAAACCAAGCACACGGATTCTACATATGCTGCAAAGCAAGGCTATACAGGATTAAACACCAAGGGGATCAAGAGGAGAGTCCAGAAGGAGAGAGACAGGGCTGTTGATGTGGCCTCAAGTCATCAGAAGAGATGGGATTTGAAAGGGACCACCAGGCCCCATGGGATGTGGTTTGTACTACATGTTTGTATATCCCCAAAATCCATATGTTGAAATCCTGATTCCCCAATGTGATGGCATTTGGAGATGGGGCCTTTGGGAGATGGATTTATGCCCTTATAAGAAGAGACAATGAGAGAGTTTGTATCTTCTCTTTCTGGCATGTGAAGACACAGTAAGAAGACATCCATCTGTAAACCAAGAAGACAGCTATCACTAGGAACCTAACTGGCTGGCTCCTTGAACTTGGATCCTAGCCTCCAGAACTGTGAGGAATAAATTTCTGTTGTTTAAGCCACCCAGTCTATGATATTTGTATTATTGCAGCCTGAACTAAGACAGGATAGAAATAAGGCATTCCTGGAATGAAGAGAGCAAAGGGTCTGAATTGAGGAACGCTCCAGGTGCAGAGGAGCTCCTCACAAGCTATTTTACATCTCAGGGTGCTCTTAGGCTTATTGATTTCATCATCCATTATTATAGAAGGTAGGATATAGGATCAAATCTGCACTGACTTAGCAAAAAACCTAGAACTTACAGTCTCTTTTCCTTCCTCCCGTCCTTATTCTCTCCTTTTTTCCTTTCCCTTCCCCTTCCCCTTTCCCTTTCCCTTTCCTTCTCCCTTTCCCTTTCTCTTTCCCTTTCCCTTTCCTTCTCTCTTTCTTTCTCTTTCCCTTTCCCTTTCCCTTTCCCTTTCCCTTTCCCTTTCCCTTTCC